ACCTATGCGTGAGGGAAGTCGAATTGGGAAATCGACCCACAACTTTTTTTAATAAAGAAGGTTGGCATAATATCACTAATAAATTCAAAGAAATAACAGGAAGAGATTATGATAGGATGAAACTAAAGAACAAATGGGATCAATTAAAGAAGGACTGGAAGCTTTGGAAGGAGCTTAAAAGGGGATCAACTGGATTGGGATGGGATCCAGTCAAACGGACAATTGATGCACCTGAGGAATGGTGGGCAGAAAAGTTAGCGGTATGAACATCACTATTTCAATTAAATTTTACAGACATATGTTTGGAATTTTGATTGGATTGTTTTTTTTAATTACAGGTTGTGCCCGTGGCAAAAAAATTCAAATTTAATGGAATTGAACCAGCCTTGGAGGAGAAATTGGATGGCATGTTTACTGGTGTTGTAGCAACAGGAACTCATTTTTCCACCCCTAATGAGCAGGGTGTTGCAAACCTAGCTGAGGATATAGAGACCGAGCATATAGGTGATTCAGGAGAAGGTCCCAGCCAAACCCACACGGATATCCAATCCACTGGTGGAACAAAGCGCCCCCGTCCTGTAAAAAATGAAAAAGGCATTGCATTTGTTAGAGGTTCTATTGAGACATTAATTGAAATTTCCAAAAATAATTCAAAAACTTCGAAGGACAGCACAATCCATGAGTGTGTTAAAATCCTTAACACAATCCTGGCATTAAGGAAGACCAAGATATGTATGTTAAGTACGTGAATCATTAAGTATGTATGTTAACCCTTATCCACCACCAGGTACGAGGAAAGATATGTATGTTAAGTATGTATGTTAAGTATGTATGTTAACCCTTTCAGCACAATCCAAGATATGTATGTTAAGTATGTATGTTAACCCTTATCCACCACCAGTTACGACAATCGTGTTGGGCTTTCGTCAAATTTTATTACTTCAAATTTTCTTAATTTTAAAAAAAACTTTGCTCAGGTAAGTACTACTTAGTGGACGCCGGGTATCCTTTGCAAAAGGGCTATTTGAAGCCATATCCAGATACAAAATATCATATACCTGATTTCGAGAGATCTAGCGGGGTTGCACGAGGAAAGAAAGAAATTTTTAATAAAAGGCATTCATCCTTGCGTGGTGTGATCGAGAGATCGTTCGATGTTTGGAAGAAGAAATGGGTAATTCTACGTGATATGTCAACTTATCCTTTTCCAAAACAAGTCCAGATTGTAGTGGCAACAATGGCACTTCACAACTTCATACGACGACATCATTCTCGGACAGATGCAGAGTTTTCTGTTATAGAAGAGGATTCAATGGAAATACCACCTGAGGCATTTGAATACCACGTTGGACGTTCTATCCCACAAATCGATATTGATTCAC